ACATGTTGAAATTACTGACAACAATTATGATGCAACAGCTGAATTTTTTGCGGTTGATTCTGATTTCCAGTTTTCCTCCTACTCCTACTTTTTTTCCAATTCAATTTCTTACTAAGAACTATGATTGACGGCATATATGAGGAAAAATAAACTTTTCTTCAGTACAGGATATTGTAATTATAATAATAGAAATAATTAAATTTTCCAATTCCCCTCAAAGTGCAGTAAGTTACGGGATCTTCACCTTTACATATTTGACCTTACCAAAAAAAAAAAGCAGATACAGTGGATTTATGTAACAAAACTTACATTATTTTTCACTATGTTTATAACTTAACCAGATACGAGGACGTCGACTTTTTTTCTTTTTTTCACTCATGGCAGCTTGTTGGATAGCTTTAGCTCCTTTGCATATAGGCAACATTTAACCAGTGCTTGTTGCATCTCCAACCATAATGCCCTTACAGATTAAAAAATAGGTAAAATGAATCTAATTCCATTTAGCATGCTGTGTTTTCATTGCAGATTGAGGAGGAACTGGCTGCACTTCAGAAGGAACGTACCGAACGGATTAAGCACTTGTTGGAACGTCAGGACAGAGAAATTAATGCTTTTGACACAGAAAGTAGAAGCCTCGGCTTTGGAAGCCTGGGATCTATAGACTTCCCCAAAGAAGACAACAGATGAAAGTGGATTTATCTCTAAAGGACAACATATCCGTGCCCTTTTCACGTCCACTTGACCGTTTGTCCCACCCAGGGTGACAAAACTGGATTACTTTTCATTGCTCTTAGATATTGCATCTTTGAATTGGGGTGTTGCGTGCAATGAGAGCCTCTTTTGTGAAACTTTAAAGGAAGGGGGTGGGGGGTAAAACAAAAGAATCTACACAACAACATGTCAATAAAAATCAAACCTAGTCAGTGTAACTCAAAAGCCTATGTGTCTGAAATAAAAGACTCTTTCCTCCATGCCATTTTCTCCTTTTGGTATGAATTGAATAAATCAGGAAATTTTAGTAAAATGGGCACTTTGGTATGTTTAAGTAGAAACCCATCTTGTTCATATGAGGCTTAATGTGTGTTACATGGAGGGACATTGTGGAATGTGAGCTACGGATTCCCCCGTGGTGTTAAGCTGCTTTGTTTCGGTTTTGTTTTCTTTTTGTTTTTTACTAGTTTCATTTTGTTCTCTTTGTTTTATTCTCTGAATGTGAATATTACTGTATGGGGTCACTGGATAGTCAGAGTTTTTTTTTTATTTTTATTTTCCAGTCATACTTCCATTTTGTGCTTATGCATACAGTATACTGTGGACCCTCACTTTTCTAGGCAGTTCTGATCTTTTCTTTCATTTGATATGTAGACTCGATTGGCATAAGCTTGATCAGCCCATTTATCTTATCACAACTCAAGATCCCACTTGGTAAAACTGCTTATTATTGCATGCACTTTAAGGACAAATTCAGGTTGTGAAGTGAAGCATGAATCTGTCAGAGATTTTAGCTGTTTGTAAATAAAAGTGGTCATAGCATTTTTTTAGGCCTATGGATACTGGACATAAGCGCCATATTTGATATGATAATTTTCACAAATGCCTTTATTTAAGTTGTGCCTGAAGCAGATTTTAGTTACGTGTTTGTTATATCTATATTTTACCTACTGAGGCCGGCACCATTTTTGTTTTTGAGTTCATCTAAACTTGTGAATCATTTAATGTTCACTAATCAAAGTTCTTGTAAAGGAAAATGGTGAGAATTGTGCTGTATAATTTTTGATATCAATATTTGTACATGAGAACATAGCTAGAATATACAGAGACACTCGTCTGTTACTGATAACAGAGTCTAATGATAAAGATTTTGCTTAGTTTTCTTTCGTTTTATAATATAGAGAAATGGTCATACAATAGCTCAATATATTGCTAAGTCAAATCACTAGACTTTGAGATTGTAAAGATGGAGGTGAATGGAACCACAGACTTCTTATATCAGTATCAGCGACGCCACAACAGCAGACAACAGCATGTGGGTCCGGATTGCATTCTCCTTATTACTGTCTAATGATAAGATTTACATCTTTTTTGCCATCTTTGTTATGGTCATTGAACAGGTTGCACAATTATTCCATTTCTACTGAATGGAAGGGTAATTGTTTGGTGCTTAATTTCTAATGCCACTTTTAGCCTTGTGGGTTTTGTCTCGGAGAGACGATTGATTTTTACAAAATGTAAAACATTTTGAACCCCACCCCCGCCCCCACTCTGAGTCAAAACACTACTATGTTTTTCAAACACTCATGACATATTTAGAGTACCCCATGCAGTGAAACCCTCTTAAAAGAAAATTAAGTATATGTATGGAAAAATAAATGCTATTTTATCATGGGACAGTTTTTGGAACATTGTTTAATGTGGTGGTGTTGAATGCAACCCTGTTACATTTTTTCTTTTCTTTTCACGTCAGAGCCACAACTTGTATTAATGTTTGGTTATGTTCCTCACAGGGCTGAACGCTAGAAGACGCGCCCCGGGGTACAGCAGACGAACGCGATGGCATTCAGCGTCGGAACGCAATAGCACTTAAATGCTCTTGTTTTACACCTAAATTCGGAATTTGTTTTCTAAGGTCGAACGGCTCCACTAAGATTTACAGTCTTTGGCGTTTTCATGAACTTTCTGAAATTTGATGACAGCATTTCTCATATGCAGTAAGGCCTTTTGTCTTGGTCACGTGTAACTGAAAGCCTTGTGGACACAATTTTTTAAAAAAGTGCTGTTGGGGTGCTTGAATAAGTTTGTTTGTGAGCTGCAAAACAATTACAATTTGTGTGACTTTTATGTTACTAGAAAGATGTATTTAGTTAGAATAAAGGGGACTTTCCTAAAGAACTTTATTCACCATTTCCTGTGCAGTTCAAAGACAAAAATAAAAGAGATTCTGTTGAAAACAAGGACTCTCAATTATCATCCTGCATCTCATGTCAGAGTGCATTTCTTATCATTTGTGGTTAAATTTTCTTGTAAAGCTTTGTCATGTGGTGCAAATCGTCTCACTTTTGCTTTTCTTAGTGCATTATAACCGCAGTGACCTACATCAAATCAAATAAAACGCTGTTTATCATAATTTACTGTAGGTTGCAAGCACGCAAACACACATTTGTTAACTTGTGAAAACAGAACCCTGAAGTTGGAGCAAGAAGTGAGAGGGGAGTTACACTGCAGAGCGTCCAGGTTCCTCACGTTTCAGGGAAAGCCTGCTTGATTTAGGTACTGAGTGTGGTTTATTTTTTAGCATGTCTCTACTTTATATGTGAGCAGAAATCTCACTGTAGTTTCCTTGAATTGCCGACATCTGTTGCAGCAGTTGCCAGCCTCGCCGCAACCCCTCTTTAATCCCCTGGGGTAACTGGAAACCCCCTGAAGGTGGCAAAAGAGTGGTTAGATTTTACCTGAAGTAGTGCTGACAGGGATGTGGCGCATTGAGTTCCCCCTCATTTTTCTCAAGTAGTCAGTAATTCAGCGACAATACATCTAAGGTATTGAAACCAAAATGTGATAATCAAGAGAAAACAAAGAGATGGTGCCAGCTCATAATGAGGTTTTTTCACTTTCAGTGAAAAGTTTACCTGTTGCTTTTACCTCAGAGGAGATTGCCACTTTTCTGTCCTGCAGACATGCAGTTTGACCTGCAGTCTGACCTAAAATTAACCCTAGTGATGCAGATAGTGAGCCAAAAAGACGTCATCGGGTGTCTCCAAGCAGAAGTGTTGGGGGATGACTGTAAGATTAGCAACAACAACAACAACAAAAAAAGCCCAGTTTATGTTATTTTCATATTTTCCCATCCTGCAAGATGTCTAATGTTTACTCATAAATCTCTGGAAGACACGCCACACTAGTGAGATCATCCAGTGTTAAAGTCAGCCCATGCAACAGATCACATGCTTTACCTAAGCAGGCCCAGTCCTTTTACGCACTCAGAAAATTTGTGATTGAGAAATGTGACCTGTTTCCTGTGACCCTGCCAGCTTCCTGTGCAAACACCCGCTTGAAAACAATGTTGCAAAAAGACACGTGGTCTTAGGAGGGGATTTAGGAGTAAGAGATGAAATTCGGGAGAACTTTTTACCAAATTTAACAGAAGGTAGAAAAAAAACAATATGAAACAGCTTTCAAAATCCCCCCCTCACATTTGTGGTCCAAACAAAAATAACACTCAGCACTTACCTTAGAATTTGTTGGTTATGTCAGAGTGAACTTTGCCAGGTAGCAGCAGGACACTTTAGTTATGTGGTTTTGTTTTTGAATCATTGGGGTCATGCCTACGCCAGCGAAGCCACTGAAAGCTAAACACAAACTGAAAGATCCTGAGTAATATCAGACTCCTCCTGCGTGAATGCCTATACATAGAAAATAAGAAACTTTAACAGTTTCTTTTCAGATCTATAAAACAAACAGACAAACAAAAAAATTATCAACACCCAGCTTTGCACAGACAGTGATGAGCTCACTTTTACCTCCACGCACAGACAAGTTTCTCACCCTTGCTATTTAAAGAGTGGTAGGAAGCAATTTGGTGAGCATGTGTGAAAAGTGTAGGTTGACCTCAGTCCTGATATGATTTTCATTCATGTATGACACGGTTTTCTAAATTCTGCAGGTTACTCTTTCAGTTTTCTTGAAATATATAAATATAAGTGTTTATATTCCATGCACAAAAAAGGAAGTCCTATTTTAAATGCCACAACCCTATGTCCATACATGTCCTAACGAGCAGACAATGCCCCAACATGCCTATTAAGGGAGCAGGCATTTAGATACATTGCCCACTTTGCTTCTTATAGGCGTAAAAAAAAAAAATGCACATGTGAACGAAAGGAGGAAATTCTGGGAAATTTGGTTGCCTCAGAAGTGCACGTCATTTCCTCCTATGACAAATGTGCGGTTTCTGTCTTTAAAAAGTTTTAAAGCAGTGTGATTATGACAAGTCCGCACAATTTGCTTGTGATACCGAGAGGAGAATGAATGGTCATGTAAAGAATATGCATTTTCAGCAGTTCATGGAAACAGCAGCAAGTAAGTTTGATTGTTTTTTGTCTCCTTTTTGTGCTTTAAATATAAAGCACTGAACACTTTTGCATCTTTTCTTGCCAATAGGGATGTGGTTATTTTTAGCGATTTACAGCTGTTGTGAAACTAAGAGCAGTTTGCCGTTTTCTGCGTCAGTAAAGGAAATTACAACGCTTATTAGTTTCTTAACACAATGCTACATAAAATATTGGAAATGGCACCGTAAGCTTTTACTTGCCACATAAATCTCTTTTTTGGCACTTGTGGTTTTTATACAAAGATCCCCTTAAACCCACCAATGTGATGAAGGATAACCATAACTGACTAGCTCATTTCTCCTCAGCATTACTGTCTCTCTTGCTGCTTATGACTGTTGATTCAACAAAAACTGTGGCAGCAAGCACGAATCAGCAGTGTGGGAATCTCCTGCAGCAGACTTTGAAGATCACCAGAATTGTACACAAGGAATCTGGTGACCTAATCAAGACATATGTGAGTAGACTACAGGCACAAAACTGCTCTACTTTACCAGTATACTGGCAGATATACTTGTGCACTTATAAGCTATGTAGGCTGATTCCTTTCCTTTTTTCCCTTGTTTGCAGAAAGCCGCTCAAGGGGAAATGTCAGAGCTCTTCTGCAAGGTGTCGGTGAACGACATCCCTGATCCCAACATCTCTGGGCTGGATCCCCCAGCAAGGATAGCAAGCATCTACACGCATCTCCAAGCTTTCCTCCCACATTTTAAACGTGTATACAAGCAGCAGACAGACTTACAATCACCTGGCAGCCCTCTCCTGAAAGAGCTCACCAGAGTCTGGGATCGCACCGAGAGTCTGGCCAGTTTCATAAACACATTTTATCAGAGCCTCTTCCCAAACCTGCCCATACCTGAGCCGGCAGGTGGGCCGACAACACTACCACCAGCTCAGAACGTCTTCCAGCAGAAGGTGTACGGCTGCGTGGTCCTGAAGACCTACAAGGATTTCATGTCAAACGTTTCCAAAGAACTGAGGAATATAAAAAGCAAAGTGTGCACGAAGAGGACACCAATCAATGCATTCTGAAGATGACCAGAAGGTGGCCTTACACAGTCAGTTTCCTGAGAAAAACAAATGTAAGTTTAAAAGTGGCTGGAGTGTCAATGCAAGCTTATTTATGGTATTTAATATTTATTTTCTTTTGTGTTAATTGTCATGCTGTTAAAGACATGTTATGTCCATGCAATATGTATTTAATTTGCAAAATGCCATTGGAAAAGTCCTGTGTTGCTCATGTAAACTTATTTGTGCTACACACAACAATTAAAAGAATACTTTGCATCTGTACAATGTGGTCAGCATCCATTTAATCATTTTTGTCAGAGACCATCTGAAAAAAAAAAAGCATGGAGTTTAATACAATACTGGTGCCTACTTAATGGCAACAATTTAAGATAAAATGATGTTTCTACAATAATAATTCTTCTTCCTTTGCTTCTGACAAGTTAAGATGGAAACAAAAAACATTGCAGCTTGTGATCTGGACAGAATCAGTCCATCCAGAGGGGTTAAAAGAAAATCAGGAAGCTGCTGAGACGCTGACTGAGTGATATCAACTCTGAATGACGCATGTGTTCAAAACAAGGCTGCATCAGATAGGAAAGATTTCATGAAACTGGCGGGCTGTCTGGCTAGTCACAAGGTGTGGGTGTGTGTGGTTCAGATAATAGTTGTGCACTACATTAATAGTGTGTGCTGTGTATCTTTGTGTGCCTTAAAAAGAAGAAACTGCAGCTACAAAAAGGAAATGTGTAAGTATACACCCATTGAATTGTGCCCCCCCCCCCCCCCCACAACACAACCCCCCAAAAAAAAAAAAAAAACACCACACAGATAATGAACAGGCTCTCCAGAGATGTCACCTCTGTACACAGTGACAAGAAGGATATTTGCTGGAGTGAAGTAATTCTTAGCTAAACTTTCCTCAGGTCACAAGCTGTCGGGAAACTGGAAGCAGAAGGGGGATTCACTCTGGGTCATGAATCAAGTTCCCTCTTATAACTCTGGCTTATTTAAGGCACAAACACAGAGGGTACCTCAGGGCAACAGTCATTCTCCAGTCTACATTGTAGTCAAGTTGTTCCGAAAATATCTCTTGAATCCCCCCTGATTAACCCACGGCTACTGCCTACTGGGTGGAAATCAGTAGTGTCTGTTATTTCACCGACACACAGGTCATGCTCAGCAGACATGGTGACGACATGGTGGGACCACTAAAACGCTGAAGCCTTCTTAAATTAGACGTCACCAAACATAAGCGACAAGTATTATCAGTGTGCAGCTTTGTGAAATTAAAGGCCAAAGTTGCACAGTGACATATGCTTCTGTGGCAGATCAGTGAATCTACCTGAGTAATGATAGTTTTATTATCTGAAGCATCTTCTATAGATGAAGACACAAGTTACCACAAGAGAAGCAGGTGCACGGCCATGATCATTTTATATGCTTTGACATGGTTTGACCTGTGGGGGGCAGTATGAACCAAGGGTTCAAGTCATTATTTAAAGTCATGATGCACCACTGCAAAAACATTTCCAAGACTAACATCCATTCATGTTAACAAACTAGGGTTGTTGTTTTTTTAAAAGGTATTTCAGTTATTTTTCATATTTTAAGCCCTTTCGGTGTCGTGACAGTAGAGCTACAGACACATGGGGAGAAAACAGGATGAGATAAATCAAAAGAGGTCATTTTTCAGCTACACTTAAAATAGGGATACTTTGGTTATTGTATGTGGTTTATACTGTAAACACTCAGCTACCAGGAAACATCTGACTTCCTATTTTATGCTTTCCACTTTCCTAAGTTGCCAGCCATTTTTTAAAAAAGTCTTGTTTTCTAGGATTGCAAACATAAGATTTTATTCCCCGATTTTAAGTTCTTCGTTAATGAGTAAAGCTGTAAAATGATGCTTTTGTACATCAGAACGTCACAGTCTCACACAAAGCCCATTAGCTTACAGACACCAAACACGGCTTCTCTTTGATCTCTGACTAACCTTGTGTTGTGACATCTTTTCATCATTAAAGACAAGTTGCCGAGTATAAGTATCGGAAGGAAATTCTATACCACAGACAAAGCAATTAATGAAAACCATTTCTATGAGTCATCCATTCTCAGGGTACGTTGACTTTTCTGAGAAATCCTGTGATCACTTTAGTTCCAACATTTAATGTAACCAGACTGTTTCCCTCTACAGCCAGTTACCATAAAAGGGAGTAATGACCTCTGCATGACGAAGCAGAACTGACATGAAAAGGGGTTTGACTTAAATAAAATTCATATCATGACTTTCTTCTTAAATGTTAAACCGATTCTGCCGTGAAGCATTTCTTCATGCAGAACAGCACTCCCATTTCCTGTTATCAAGTATCCACATCATGAACTGAAGTCAGGACAGTTTCATTGGGTCATTTATTGTGCAAATACAACGTGAAGAGCATGCACCAAGAGGGTTCATGTTTGTGACATTAATAAAAGGCTCTTGTCTTAATAGAGACATATCCAGATACATTTAAAGACAGATCTTTATATCCCTGACTACTGAGACTTATTGATTTATGGCAATAACATTTTTAGATGTTTATCAAGCATCCATACTTGCATGCATAGAGTCATATCGTTGGTTAGCTAGCACTGGATATTTGATTAATATTGCTTTGTCCAACTGCTAGAAGTGCGTAGTAATTATCTCAAGTATTGCTAACAGTCAGATTACTTCAAATACATCCAGCATATGTATATATATAGTCTTAGGATTTGCATAGTTATTCAAACATGAATAAGGCATATATTCAGGCGAGCAATAAACTTAAACACACAATACAGTGAAAACGTCATTTTGCACCTCATGGTTCAGCATACCGACCTCACTTACACAAGGTTGTCGTGTCCATATTCAAAAAGCGAATGGTCATTCTCGATTCAATTTCAAATCCGTCCAGCAACTGCAAAACACAGTTTTACATTCAAACCTCAGTTATTTAGTACCAGTTTCCAATTTAAATGCAAACCGATCAGTTAAAAGAAAGTTAAAGCGTACACATACACTCAGGAGCCACTTTTTTAAGGCACACCTGATCAAATGCTCGTAATAACTATGGCAGCACCTCGGTGCTTTTAGGCATGTAGATATGGTCTACAGATTGCATGGATTCACCAAAAACCAGACAAAGGAGGACTGGAAAAACGTCGCCCGGTCTGTTAAGCCTAGATTTTGTCCATGACATAGATGGTGAGGTCAAAATTTGGTATCAATAACATGAACTGCCTCGTACTGACAGTTCAAGCCTCTGACGGTGGAACAATGTTGTTGTGGGTATTTTCTTGGCACATTTTGGTTCCCTTCATCGCACCACAGAGCCCCTGAGTATTGTTGCTGACCATATCTACCATGGTGTACCCATCTTTCAGTTCTTTTCAGACTGGTTTCCTGAACGTGACAATAAGTTCACTGTACTCAGATGGCCTCCATGTCTCAGACATGTTTCCAGCACCTTATTGCATCTATGCCACAAAGAGTTAAGGCCATCCTTAAGGCAAACCAAACAGAAAACTAGCAAAGTGTAACTAACAAAGTGACCAACGAGTGCATATTGTTTAATAATGTGCATTATGTGTACAAACCTTGAGGAAGTGCTCAAATGTGATGCCCTCATAGAATTCATCAGGCTCCTGTGTGCCAGAAAGTGAAGTTGTTGACTTTATCCAGACACCTTAATGTTATCTTGAGACGCTTTAGCTTACATACCATGTGACCCACTGAAATACTGGCCACCTCCAACATGGCTGCATCAGCAATGCATTTGGCTGTTTCCTTCTCCAGTGTCCCACTCCGAGATAACAGCTCCTCCACCACCTGAACAGACGTGAACAACAGCTGAAGTAAGATATCACTTCTGTAATGCTGTAATCGCATCATCCTGTCTGTTACTGGCAGCCAATCAGTTGCGTTGGAGGAAATTGAGCTAATAACCCCAGCACTAGAGTTACATGTAAAACACAAAGATAATTTACTTTTACAGTCAGTATTTTTAAACAGCTTAAAAACTCAGTTGAGAATGATCATAAACTTAAGGGGACTGTGCGCGATCATTTCTTCCCCCGAGCTTACATGTCTGTATTCCTCTAGAGTTATTGTCCCATCGTTGTCTGTATCGTGCATGTTGAATAAAACTGCAGAAAAACAAACAAACGCAGGTTTGACTTTGTGTCATCTTCAGGTAAAAGACAAGCAGTCGAGTTCATGCGATCTATACTGAGACGTACATCTCAGTTTCTCTCTCCTGGTCTTTCCACGCTGCTCTTCTGTCATGTGCGCCGATGGCGGCCTAAAATGGGACATGACCACCACGAACTCTTCAAAGCCAATCTCCTGAACTTTTCCCTCGCCATTCTGATGGAAGTTTCTGAAGAAAACAGCAAATCAGATGCTTTCAAATGAACTGACAACAACTGATACATTAAATCTACAATTTCTTCCATCATTTTTCATCTTAAATGTAAGAATTGTTTATGATTTTGAAAAATAAAAGTAAAATGATTAAAGGCAATGAATAATTACTGTACCTTCTGTCAAAAAACGCCTCTATGATCTGTGCGCGGATGGGATTGAATGCTAGGTCGTCGATTTCATTGAAATTATCTCTCCTGAGGGTTTAAAACAGACTTTCAGGAGTAGCTCATTCATAAGAGACACAATCGTAGAATCCTGTAGAGCAGGTTTCCCACTCCAAAGAATATTTGTTTCAAGAACAAATGAAATATCAGCTTACCGTAGAGTCTCTTCATTGTGACTCAGCTGCTTAAATCTTTTATGCAGAACTCCAATCTGTTCAAATGAAACTGAGAAATAAGACGGAAACTTTAGGACAAACTACCTGTAAAGATTGCACACCAAGATTAAGTTCCACTAAAATGCCAGTTCAGCTGTCCACTTTCAGCTTTCAAGGCAGCTAATTTGGATATTCACGTTTCATGTAAAACAGTTTGGTTTGCCTCTCATCTCTCACACTCACCTGTTTAGAACATACTACAGGTGAAACCATAAGGTCATTTAGAAAAGTA